TACTACACACACACACACACACACACACACACACACACACACACACACACACACACACACACATATATATATATATATATGTATATTAACAATATCTTACAAACTTCCTACTTGCATTTTATGCAATTTTCATGTCTAAATTTAAATAACAGTGTATTCTGTAACTCAACAGTCACATGTTATTGGATCTACAAGATGTTTATTGTTGATTTGTTCTTGACATGAGTTATGTTAATTATTGGTAATTAGGTTGTCTACATTCTAAAGTAGCCTCGACTAAGTAAAGACACAGTATTTTTCTTGAAACAACTTATTAGCACATAAAGGCAGGTTACAAAGGACAATTCATAAACACTGGACAAGTGACATTCATATGTGAGTGGCAAAAACAAGGACATTCCTAGATCCATGTTTGAATACTAACTTATTTTATGTATTAAAATTGGGCACAGGTAAACTGAAGCCAACTTGCTAGTGCCTGCACTGGAATAACTGTCTAACCAAAAATACTAATGAAAAACTAACTAACTTGTTAATACAATATCAATTATGCAATGATTAACATAACTCTACATTACAAACCAACTAACATGACTGTTGAATTAAATCATACACTGTAGTTTAAGCTTAGATAAGGTGATTGCACAAAACATAAGCAGGAACCTTGTAAATTATTATTAATAAAACTTATGTGTGTGTAATCTAATAAGTGTGTAATGATAATATAAGCCTTGCAGTGATTGTGCCAACAGATAAGTACATCTGAAGGATGAAATAATGCAAATTTAATTCCTTTCAATATGTTAAACTTATTGCAAGAACTTATTGTAATCAGTGTTGTTACTTGTCTTTTGGTATCATTAAAGTGTGATGGTTATTGTAGTAGTAATACTTGTAGGGAATTAATTATTAAGTACACCACCTTACAGTATCTGTTGCTTCAGCTAACCTTTATTAATGAAGAGTGATATTTATTAAATATGATAAATTACTTTGAAAAAATGGGATATGCATAAAAATTAAATCTGTTACTTTGAAGTTAATACACTATAGTGAAAAGTTTGGTATATGACAAAATATGTGTTGTATTTAAGTTTTTGCATAGCTTATCTGGAAAAATAAACAGTTTCCTGTAGTCAAGAGCTATTTATTCTTATTGAATCACAGTTTAATTTTCATTTAATTTTAGCATTCAGAAGAAGCATAAGTCAGTACACATTAATCAAGTTAGCTAGCAAGTCTTGATAACACTTACTGAACTCTTTCAGAAGATTAATCTCTCTTTAAATACTCTTGTAAGTACACATTAATCAAGTTAGCTAGCAAGTCTTGATAACACTTACTGAACTCTTTCAGAAGATTAATCCAATGGTATTTAAAGAGAGATTAATCTTCTGAAAGAGTTCAGTAAGTGTTATCAAGACTTGCTAGCTAACTTGATTAATGTGTACTGACAATGGTATTTAAAGAGAGATTAATCTTCTGAAAGAGTTCAGTAAGTGTTATCAAGACTTGCTAGCTAACTTGATTAATGTGTACTCACAAGGGTATTTAAAGAGAGAGAATTTTTCATTGTTGTATTTTTTGCATTACTGTTCTCATTGTTAGTGATTAAATGAAGAATGATTCAGACTGACTGGCAATCTTTACTCTCCTCTCTAGGTAATTGTTTTGCCTCACACCCATCCTGATCCAGGCTGGCTGAAGACCTATGATGAATATTACATCACTTCAGTTTCATACATCCTTAACAATATGGTTAAAAAACTAAATGAGTACAAGGATTTGACTTTTATATGGGCTGAAATTTCCTACTTTTCATACTGGTGGGACAGGTAATAAGGTCTAAGTCTACTTGAGTATATGGATAGTCTTAAAAAAAATGACTGACAAATCCTGTACAGTTACTTGTGCTATTTCAAGGTTAATTGGCACTTCAATCAATTATTAGAACAATAAAAGGGACATTTAGTGAAACATAGGCATGACCTAATAAAATCATAATGAAGGCAAGCTTTTGCATCATCATGTATTTGTTATTTCAATAGCATATGTACCTATTTTTAAATCCTATAAATTTCTAAAATTCAAAACTTTTTTATCTTTTTTACATGTATGTATAGCTGTAATTTATCTAGATAGATTAAATATAAATGGTTAAGGCTGTAACATTGGTAGAACTTACAAGCCCAATTATATTTCTTATTCAGGTTTTTGAAGACAAGTGAAAACATAAACAAATGTGATTATTGTAAGGTTTTATATTATATTTACATTGTGATTTTCCTATAAAGCCTTAGAAAACCCGCTTGAAAAAACTTGGAATATTCTATTAAGAAAAAAAAAACATTTAAAAATCAAATACCAGATTGCTATAGTTAAAAGTACTTGAAGTCAAGTATTTGGGATTCAAGCTGTCCCACCATCACAAGCACACTGTCACAATACAGACTTAAATTGTTTATTAAATACCAGTGACAGTTGATGACTTATTGTTATATTACATTATTTCACATGTTTCTTAAATACTGGAAAGGGTGCTAGTAGCAAAATAAACCTTTAATGAGAAGAGAAGGACTATAGGAAGAGTCTGAAATGAACCATGAAAATAAAAAAAATGGTAGATTACAGAAAAAAGTCTTTTTTTACCTTTCACTTGTAATTTAAAGATGTGGAAAATTACGAAAGGTTGCTACTTTATAATGTTATATTGTGAAATATCTTTGTATAGGTAAGGAATGTGAAATTTTATATAATGTAGTATGAAAGTGAAGTATTCCATAATGGTATATATTTACAATACTAAAACATATTAAATTTATTCAAAAATTGTAACTAACCAGTGCTTGCATTAATGACTGTCTGCCTGGACAGAACAGGTAAAAATAATGTCAGACAAGCATAATTGGTATGTTACATGCCCAACATGGCAAGTCCAAACATGCTTGCCCACACAAAAATTCAACTCATCTTCATCAATCATGTTTTTACATGGTGCCACCACTTTTATTTGACACATTGCATGCTGTGAGCTTGACTTAGACTAGTCAATCCCCTGCTGTGGAAAACAGGTGGTGTCATCTGTATACACTGCACAAGGCAGTTTTGATTAGTAATGGTCTGACCGTTAGGCTGCTATACAAATGTACATACAAATTCGATGACGAGGAACCCACTTTGAGACTAATAATGCTTGGAGATGGCTTGAATGGGTAATGAAGAAAAACTTTAACATAAGTTTAACATAACAGGAAATGTACAACGTTTCAACAAGGTTTTGTCATCATCAGGTACAAGTAGTTTACACTGACACAGATATATATGAGTATGGAACAAAGAGGTCACATGACCGGATACTGTTGCAAGACTTAGAAGAGATATCTTGGCATTCCAGGGTGTTGGTTTAGAGTAGGGTTGTTTTGTTCAATTAAGATGGATTCCTTGATTTTTCGTTTCTGTATGTTTGGTTCTTTGTTTAAAATTACTGTTTAAAATAGATATACTATGTTCTTTTTGAGATGCAATGTTGGAAAACATGGGACGGTTTTTTATTGCTTTCTATGAATCTGGTTTCCGATTTTCTTCCTGTTTCTCCGATGTAGAATTCTGGGCAGTTATTGCATGTTATTTTGTAAATGACGTTGGTATTGTGTGATTCTAAATAATTTTTGTTCAGTAACGATTTTAATTTAGGGCCAGGTTTTTGAGAGAATTTGACATTGACAGGAATTTTGTGTTTAATGGCTAGTTTTGTCCAAGTGTGTATTGTTCTTGAGGTGGTATCAGGGACAATAGGTAAACTGCTGTGTAATGTTCTGTTGTTGAGTTTGTTAGTATAAATTTTGTTCGTGAGTTGAATTTTGTTGTGGGGAATGTTGGAGAGTTTTCAACAATAGCTGGTGGAAATTTGTTGGTGTGAATGAAGGAATGCTTTATGTGGTTGATTTCTTCATGTATGTAGTCCATTGGACAGTCTTGTGGCTGTGTTTATGAGGTTTTTCAGGGTATTGAACACACACACACACACCGGCCTCTACATCCCCTGGAATTCCGCTCATGTCACCACACAAAAAAATCAATACACTTCAGACACTTTTGGGGGGTACTTCTATCATACCCTTACACAGGTCCTTCCACTTAATCAATGTGGGATTCTAGCTAATCTTGTGAGTGGAGGGAAGTACCATATCGAAAGTTATAATTTTCCTATACTGAAAATGTATTTCCGATAAGTACTTCCTTATTCTCACACTTCCCACTATTCCTCCCTACTTTCCTCTGGTGCTTAAATTTTCTGCCAAACCTTGAAGTGATAGTTTGGTAGAGGTGTATAGAGGGAGTCACATGCATCACGTATGTCACGCTCCTATTGATGGAGAAGAGACGCATGATGATTTACATGAGAGACATGTTGGAATCATTCAATTCTGATAGGGGGAGCAGAAAGCTTGTGGCATGCATAAGGAAAAAATTTGCATATAGAGGGCAGCACTGGATGAGATAGCAAATCTAGTGAGAAGAGGGAAGTACCTATCAGAAATACATTTTCAATATAGGAAAATTATAACTTTGTCTGATACTACATTTAATCAAAAGCTTGTGGTTATTGTTAACATTTAAAGTTTACACTGAATATAGTTGTCAGCCCACATCAAAGTTGGTCAATTTTAACAACCAGTTTGGAAGTTGTATCAAAATTATTTTCAGTTTTTATTGTAGTTTCGGACTCTTTAGACCAAAGCCTAAATGGTACAATAATCAAAAGTGAAAAAAAAAATACTATCATATCTGATGATGTATATGTATCACTACTTTTTAGGAATTCTGGCCTAGTTAAATCAAAGTTAATAAATTTGCAACGAAAATATGGGAAACTCCCAAGTAAGACCATTTTTATCAACTTTTCTTAAATAATTCTAGTAGTGTATATGTATTTAGATGAAGACTGTGTAGTTAACCACACTGAAATATTTAAGTTTGAGAGGTAACATATTGTTATTGATTCACTAGAATGGTTTAATATGAAACTGGCTTTATTATACATGTAATTTACTGTGTACAGAGCATATGTGCATCTCTATAGACCAGCTCTTAAATATGTATGGTGTATGTGTATATGTAGTAGATGAAAATGAACTTTTATCCTTCTATCCTAGATTGAAGAACCAACCACAAGTGCAAAAGACAGTGAAAGATCTTATAAATAACGGTCAGTTGGAAATTGTTACAGGAGGTTGGGTTATGACAGATGAAGCTGCTGCTCACTACCATGCTATGATTGATCAGCTTATTGAAGGACATCAGTGGTTACGAACTACTCTTGGGGTCGTGCCGTCGAATGCATGGTCAATTGACCCATTTGGTCATTCATCTACTATTCCATACTTGTTAAAATCAGCTGGAATGAAAAATATGTTCATTCAGAGGACACATTTTGCCTGGAAGCAGTACTTAGCAGAAAAGCAACAACTAGAATTCTGGTGGAAGCAAAACTTTAATTTGTTTTCTCAGAATCAGTCTCACGAGGGAGATATTTTATGTCACATGTCACCTTTTGACTTGTACAGCATTAAGCACAGCTGTGGTCCTCATCAGAAAGTGTGTCTAATGTTTGATTTTCGAAGGATTCCTGGAGAAATATCTGAAACCATGGCAGAACAAATAAATAAACAAAATGTCCAAAAGCAAGCAGATCTTCTTGTAGGACAGTATGGCCGCCTTGGTTCTCTGTTCCCCCACAATGTTGCACTAGTGTTGGTTGGAGATGACTTTCGCTACAATCATGAGGTAGAATGGGATCAACAATACAAAAACTACAAAAAGCTGTTTAATTTTATCAATGCTAACAAAGATTATAATGTAGATATTAAGTTTGGTACTTTAGGAGACTATTTTCAAGAAGTTCATAAAAGAATGAGAAACTTGAACATTGATAAACCACCAACTTTGTTAGGAGATTTCTTCCCATATGGTGATGTATATGCAGATGGTAGACCATCTTATTGGACTGGCTATTTTACCACTCGGCCAATGTGGAAGAAATTCTGTAGGGATCTTCAAAGTTGGCTACGCAGTGCAGAGATCTTGTATAGTCTTGCAAAAGCAGTTGTTACTCAGCAAGGGAATGCTCAGTTTCTTGAACTGATGCATCAAAATTATGAGCATCTAACTGTTGCTCGTCAAGCACTTGGGCTTTTCCAACACCATGATGCTATCACAGGCACCTCCAAGCAAAGAGTTATGCATGACTATGGCCAGAAATTATTCAAAGGCTTTCAAGGTACGAAAGATGTTATTGCTACTAGTGCCAAAGTTCTACTTTTTCAAAATATGACCTATAAACAAAGTGTAGATGACAGACAGATGTCAGAAACACCTAAGTTAATTCCTGATGACAAACGTTTATATTATGACAGCTTACCAGAAAAAAATGTTCTCCTTGTTTCCAGTTCTGATGGACAAAAAATTGTCCTTTTTAATTCTTTTCCTTTTCATAGACAGGAAGTGGCTCGTGTTTTAATTAAGAACCCTCATGTTCGAGTAGTAAACTCATCAAACCAAGAAGTTCCCTCACAAGTTAACCCTATTTGGAGTAGCTCAGCAGAAATTACTGACAAAGTTTATCAGTTAAATTTCTTGGCAGACTTACTCCCTTTATCATTGTCTACATTCACAATTTTCATCAGAGAAAAAAGCATAGACAAAAAATCAGAACCATCTGTGTCTGTGTTTGTCAATGATGCTTTGGATTCATCTTTGAAGAACACTTTGTTTAACTTCCAAGTAATCCATAATGAAAACATAGCTCTTAACTCTCCATACTTATCTGCCACTTTTTCCAAGTATACTGGACTACTTAAGTCTTTACATCTCTTATCTCAGGATATCACAAGTCAAATTGAAACTAAGTTTCTTTATTATAACTCTGAAGAGTTTCGTAGTGGAGCATATTTATTTCAACCAAATCCAGTAAGCCCAATCTTAAACATATCTGATAGATTCCCCATTGTCCATCTGATTCAAGGTCATCTTGTGTCTGAACTGACCACAACATACCCAAACACTGCGACTACAACATTTAGAGTATATCATCTGGATGGGCCTTTAGGGGCAGGACTGGAGATTGAAACAAAATTCGACCTTTATAAACGGAAGCATTATAATCTGGAATTATTCATGAGACTAGAAAGTGATCTTGCCAGTGAAGACATTTTTTACACCGATTCTAATGGTTTCCAGATGACTCAACGAATCAGACTTGATCACATTCCTTTGGAGGCTAACTTTTATCCTGTGAGCACTGCTGCTTATATTGAAGATACACAAGCCCGTTTGACACTGCTCACATCAAATGCTCATGGTTGTACAAGTTCTCAGAGTGGGAACTTGGAAGTAGTTCTTGACCGTCGACTGGCATATGATGACAGTCGTGGGTTAGGAGAGGGAGTGCTAGACAATAAACCAACTAATGCTCATTTTTGGTTGTTGCTAGAAGAACGTCAAAGGACCACCTCTGACAGAGAAATCCCAAATCTCAGTCAATTGGGTCATGCCTTGTCTTCTATTTTGAATTACCCTGCTATAGTCATGACATTTGAAGGCAGTGAAAAATATTTCCAAAGAAAATTTTTGACTTTTGTTCAAAATCCTTTTCCATGTGATGTTCATTTAGTCAACTTGCGGACATTACCAACTGTGATTAACTTTAATAAGCCGTCCAGTAGCAGTCTACTAATTCTTCATCGTCAAGGACATACATGTCATGTGAAATCCCATGTTCCTGGCTATTGTACACATTACCCTTCCAAAATGAGATTAAGTGAACTAAGTCATGTTCAGGTGGAATCTGTGTATCAAACTTCTCTTACAGGAATCCACGTGTTGCAGAAAATCCTGCAACTGAATGACATACAAATCCAACCAATGGAAGTGCACACCTACAATGTCACTTTTGTTTGATGATAGCGTAGATGAGAATGATGCATCATCACAATCATCTAATTTTTTGTATATTTTTTAAAGCATCCCAGTATTTGTTAGGTGTTTTTAAGTTTATATAACAACTTATGATAAATCTTGGTCATTACTGCTGCTTAAATTATTACAGAAGACTAATTTATTGTAGTCGTTGTTGCCGAGATAAATGTTTATGCATTGTTAGCCCCTTTTCTTGCCTTTAATCTTGGAAATTTTGTGAGGAAAGTATTAACCAAAGGTACCTTTTTGTTCCTATAAGGGCTTGAAGATTATAAGTGTTGAATTTTTCTCTTTACGTTTGAAAGAGCTATTTTATTATTTTGTTCACTAAATTAATTTTCCATATGGATTTTGGTAGTTCAGATTAGTATATTAAAAACTGAATTTATGTTTGGAATGATTTTGAAGTGCTCATTTATGGTGAAGGATGTTGAATTATATGTACATGGGATTGTGCAAGAGTAATGGATGCATATTTTTATTTTACAGGTTTACTTTTTAATCAGATTCTCAAGAACTCTTGATTGATAATAAATATTTATTAAATTCAGTGGAAAACTTGAAATTGGTAAGTGTAAGATCCTGAGCATACTGAACCCATAGAGAATTAGAATGTCTATCATGTTACAGGTTTATTTAAGCAATGTAGTTTGAATACTTTTGTTTTATTTCTTCTTGATAACAAAAAACTATAGTTTTTTTTAAACTACTTGGAAATTTCAGTTCACTGAAATTTTGGAGAAATGAATTGTGTGCATATTAACCAGAGGTTGAAGTAATGATTTTGATTTGTTTGAAAAAAATTATAAATTTTATGTCACAGGAACTGGCCAGAAAAACTATGCCATATATTACGTCTTATGTCTTTCTTTCACATATGGTATATCTTTCTTTTTTGTTCCTAACCTAATGAAGCACAGCCATCTACAAGTTTACCAGTTTAGCTCTGATGAAGAAAGTTTCACCTTTCAAAAGCACTTGGGTTATAGGATTTTATATTTTTGTCTTTACTGGATTTTTTGAAACTGTGTTTTTCTAACATCATGATTGAGTATTTGTACAGTAGTGTTCAAGTTGATTAGGTTTCATTTATGATCTTTACACTCATAATAGTCAGTAATTTCATATAGAAAATTACTTGTAATTACTGTAAATTAATCGTAAGGGAAGTTACTACAACATTAGTACACAAACAATATCTTTAAATTTCTTTAATGTTACTATTTAGTGTGGTTATTGTTGGCATCTTCATCATATTGTGTGTATGCGTGTTTTTTGTCAAAGTTTGTAGTATAATTTGATTCCATTTTCTTTAGTATATCTTTTATTTTTGTCAATCATGGAGTCTAGTAAATCCCACATTTTAAGTTTATATAACAACTTTTGATAAATCTTGGTTATTACTGCTGCTTAAATTGTTATAGAAAACTAATTTATTGTAGTCATTGTTGCCGAGATAAATGTTTATGCATTGTTAGCCCTTTTCTTGCCTTTAATTGTGGAAATTTTGTGAGGAAAGTATTAACTAAGTCTGGGCATCGTAGTGGACATTCCATTCACTGAAGATCTTCTGAGCTTTCTTTTCTTGCTGAATATACTCGACATTTCATGGAAGTATATTATGGGTCATTATCTTTTTCAAATGTAAAATTCTCTAGTCTGTGGTATTTATGCTGATCCATGATGTCATCAATTTTGTGAAGATGGCCAACACCATTTGTAGATATTGCATCCCAAAACTCTCACAGAGCCTTCATGCATAAATGTTGGCAAAAGGCATACCTTTTCCAACCTCTCAATGGCTCTTTGGAGAACATATATATTCTTGTTGGAACTAAACAGTTCAAAGGTATACCTTATCTGTCCAAAGCATCTTGGGCCACTGTTCCAAAGACCAGGATATATATGTTCATTTGCAAAAGCTACTCTCTTTGCGATATTCTCTCTGTACAGTAAGGGCTTTCTTACTGGGGAAATATAACATTTTTATAGAATTTCCAAATTAAGTTAGATTACAAGAAATCAATATTTCAGGCAGGCATTGTAACTTGGTTTTGAGCAATTCAAAAGCTTAGTAATTAAAGGTTTCTTGCTAAACAATTAATGAGACAGATGACCAATATTTTCATTTCCACCACATGTTCAGTTGGCAGTTATATTGATGATGCTCTTATAAGATGCTTAGTAAGAAACAAAATACACTTAAAAGGTGGGAAACAAGTACTGTAACATCTTGTTGGGAAGTACACTTGTAACTTGGTGGTACATGAAACAAAGTCTTTATGATTGAATGAAACTTGGAGTAGAAACTGTCAGGTTATATACATATTTCATGTCAGAAATGCAAAGATTTTGCAACAACAAGTTTGTTTTTCATGGTTGAGAGAGATCAACATAACCTAGTAAGAGTTGACTGATAATTTTATCTCAATCATAAAAAATGGATAAATGTGTTACCAAAGTAAATGAAGTACAGTGCTTTACTAATTTATATCTAATAGAATTTATTATCAATAATTCCTGCAAAACTGATTGTCAATAGTTTACACGAGAGAAAGGTGCTTGTGTATGTATGTTTAGTAACTAATATAAATAAATGAAGTATTATAATAACATAACTTTAGTAAAATATCTAGAAAGTAAGGAAAGGGGAATTTTGTTGATTTGTACATGATTTATTATAAATACGAAAATCTGTAATAAACTGTAAAATTAACAGGATATTAATATTATTGCTGACAGTAGTGAACACCTTATAGTGTATAGCATCGTTAAAGAGGTTAGGATGCGTTCATACATTAACTCACTCTAGAGGTCTTACAAAATTTTCAGAATAATGTGTGAGATTTTAAATTTTTCATTGTACTTATTGAATCATATAAGTATAAAATATTTAGTCTTATTAATAGATTCTATGGTCTAATATTTCTCAACTCTATCCCTAGAGAATTCCATAGATTTTGAATATTTGATACTCATTTAGTAAAACAAAATTGCACTTAATTGGTGTATTAAAAACAAAAAAAATGCTTTATTTAATTTAAAAAAATTATGTACTTAAAACATAAGTAAGTGATTTCCTAAAAATTAATATATACAGATTTAGTTGTTTAGCAGGATACTTGGTTTTAAAACTTAAGTGTCATGCCACACTTTATCTAGTTTTGTACTAGATCTGTTTTTATATGGATGACTTTGAGGCAGAATAAGGATTATAATTTGAAAATTAATTAGAAAAAATTTTTATGTTCATTATATTTCTTACAGTAGTTTTGACAAATGTCTTTGTTCAATATTTTCACTCTTCTTTCCCTAGATTATCTGGGTTACTTGGAACCTTTTGTTAATGCCCTTGGTGTTTATATATTTTAGTGAAAATTAGAATTGTTAGCATCTTTTAACAACAGTATGAAATCATACACTGAAGTTCTGAAGATCTATTTTTTGTTCACCTGAAGTTTGAAACTTGTAGTATTAATTGCTATTGTATAGATTCATTCTATCCCATCAAAAATTATTTTTAAGCCTTGTATGAGAGCATGGAGTATGGTAAAATAACTTGATAGTTAATATTAGAATGAATGTCAGAAATGCTCTTATCCTGCTGTACAATATAGATTGCATGTATTTTTTATTACTTTTGCCCCCTTCGGGTTTGTATGAGCACTATGCACAACATAAAATTCTAACCTACATTTTACTTCTGAAGTGTAAGGAATGGATCATACACAAACCTATGAAGTTGTAGTTCATTTGTAATAGATATATAGTGAAGAGTTAATCTATCAACCATGATCAGGCTTCACTTGAAAACAATTTAAACACCACTAAATGCAGTGTATAGTGAGATATACCAACCATGTTTTTCAAAAAAATGGTGAATTGATTTTATTGTTTTACTAATCAAGATAATTGTGGATCATTTTGATTTTTTGTTAAATTGAAAGAGTTAAGTTTTGAATTTAAACATAATTAATATGATATGGAATCCATACACTGATAATATAGAATTGTGTTTGTGGTATATTTATGAGTTTTGTATACATGTTTCTGGTGATTTGTTTTGTGTTTCTTTGTAAATTCTAATTTAAAAGGATTTTTGCTTTTTATAAGAAGCTTGATGTAGCTGTTAAAATGCATAAAATAACCTTTTCTTTATACATGATGCCATTCTCCTACATGTCTGAGAAGGTATAATTTGTTGTAGTTGCTGAAATGTGACAGAGTAAATGGGAATATGTGACTAATTCATTCATCAATGAGGGATTTTAAGTGTAAATGCCCTTAGAAGCAAAAGATTCAGGTGATTATTCTAACAAAAACAATTTAAGATGATACAAGCTAAATATTTTTCAGACAGGGATAATACTATCTTTGTGGTGCTTATTACTCCCATGAGGGGTCTTCTTTGTGTTATTTCTATTCCTAGAATTCCTATTGACAGATTAGGTCCCATGGTGGATGTGTTGTGTGCCATTTCAATGGTGCAATCATGTTCTGTTCTGTATAGTGCTTTCTCCCTTTTACTACCACAGTCTACTTGTATACATTGGTTGGGTTTATCCTATGCCATCTTTGTGGTACTTTGAATTCCTTGTGTGAATTATCTCTTGTTATATGATGGTATAGGTGTATTTCCAGTTCCTATGATGGATGTGTCTGTACATTATACAGTCTTTATGGAAATGAAACATCGATTTTTATTACTGGTATGTTCTCTCTTATTCTAATAGTTGGTGAAAGTGACATTGTAAAAAAAAAATGGTATAAATGTAAGTTTGATTGGTTCAAGTACTGCACTGTGAAATTGTTGCCAAAGCTTAGTTATAAAGAAGTTACTTTGAGAACGTTTTAATATTTTTTATGAAATATGGTCCTTGCTTTAAATCATTTATATACTACATGTAAAACTTTTTAATATTACTTATAACTTGTTAGATTCAGTTGTATTAATGAATGCTTTCATGTTTTTATGTTATATTTGGTTAAAGGTTAAATTTAGCCAGGTAAAATGCTCTTTATTTTTATTCAGATTATTAACCTTTGCTAGTATTTATGGCATTGTTACTAGGAGAATGTAATGTTGGTGAAGATGTGCAGTCGTTTGTAGTTAACATTGTGTAACATTTGAAGATATGTAGAGTAGAAGTGTTTGGGTATTAGGTTTTAACTGTTAACTTTGTAGTTGTACTAAATTTGTATGTTTAATTTAATCATTCCAGAAAACAATTATTTTTAGTTACTATTAAAGTGATACACATGGAAACAAAAATATGAAATCAAATGGTGTAATACATATATTTAAATAATTAAAAATCAACTTATAAGAGTTGAGTAAGGAACATAAAGTTGAGTACTCAATGAGGTTTTAATATTCTTAAGTGAAGGAGCAGGTATTTATCTACCTAATAGTAAATACTCAGTGTTATTGTGAGCTTAAGTGCTGAAAATACATGAAGTAAGAGTGTCTGAATTTTATTTAATCTTTCTCATGCACATGATGTGGTTGTGCCCTACAGATTCTACATGTACTTAACAACAGAAATATAACTAAGCTTTTAAACTATGTAAGATGCTATTGTGTTTATAATGTATTGGTTTTTAGAAAAAATTCAAATTGCTTGCCATAGTTGACAATATGTCATTTTCATTTATATTTGATTTGAAGGTTTATAAAATGTTGCTCATGTTAATTTCAGTATGTAGTACAGGGTTTGTTTGTTTTTCAATAAAAATTCTATATGTCTGTTGTGTGAGAAACTGAAAGCTTTTTACTTGCATGTCACATTTCATTGATATCTTTAAGCTTAATTGGCAATCTGAAGTAAAAGAGAATATTAACAGTAACTAAAATTTACTTGAAATACCAAACTCATGGCACTGAAGCACCACCTTTGATGATGTGGAAGGTATTTAATATAATGTGTGTTGAGACTTGTATACATTGTGTTAAATCAGTTTCTTCATTTACTTAAAGATCACTGATATTAATTATAATGACCCAAGAGTGAATTTTATAGTAGTAAAATTCAGACTCAACGGATATATCAAAAAGTGAGTTTACATACAGAATTCAGACAATTTAAAATAATAAATTAAAGTAATATGTGATATTGGCCAAAGGAGTAAAAACATATGGTATATATCGACTGTTATTATTTTGTATGAAAGTTATACGTTTCTGTTATATTTGAAACTTCAGTGTTAATAAATATGAATAGGTAGAGAATTGGAGCAGTTGTGAGTATAATTTGTTAAAGACGGGGATCTATTTATTTATATAAATTGTTTTGATAGACAAATACTGACCTTTTTAGTAACAAAATATTCTACATTTTTGTATTTGTTGTAAGTAATATGATAGAAAAATGTTGAAAATTTTACATATCATCTGCCTATCTTGTTAATGATACAAACAATTCACAACTACTTTACAAAACATTAATTTTAATGGATTGAAAGTTGCTAATAAGTTTATCAAAATATTATTTTTGTTTTAGTGATCCTACATACAAACAAGCTGAAAACTAATAACAGTATGTAAGCACGTATGCACATTCTGAAAATTGTTACTTGTTTTAACCAATGTTCACAGTTTTACTGCTATCATTATAACATTTTAGCTATTGTAAAGTGAATTTTTATTTGTATTTTTATATACAAGTTAAATACATGTTTATTCAAGCAGTGCTTTAAGTGCACATGCCCAGGTTTTTAACTGTTGTTGGTAAAGACTTAAGTAAGCAAATCTGATGTGTTATATTCTAGATAGAAATATTTTCATACTTAATTAAGTGACCTATTCTAATGTGGACAAAGCTTTCACAATGAGTTATCATGAAGTTTTCAAAGATGTATTAAATAGGAGTTTTCTGTTCTTTTTAAAATTGCTAATGATCAGATTGTTTACTTTGCTTCTTATAAATTTAGGCATTAATGTTCTGGGTTTTTAGTAGGATAATATTAGAAATCATAGGATACATATCTATAGGATAAAGTATACAGATCACAGTTACAAATTGAATTAATAAATATTTTTAACAGATGTTGCAACAAGTTAAAAGTAAGTAATGAATATTCAAAATTCAACTTGTAGATGAAGTATTTTTATTAGGTTGACAAAATCAGTTTATATTGTGTTAAGAAGTTGGAGGAAAGAATTCAAAAATATTACTTGATTTTGTAAAATCTAACTTGTTTAATAGTGCAATCAAGTAAAAAATGTTATGAATAACTTTAAATACTGAACAATGAAAATATTAGATGTAAACATTAGTTTGATACAAATTCAAGATATGGTTTTACAAACAGAAGTTTATTTCACTATATTTGCAAAATGGAAACTTGTATAAAGAAATGATTAAATATGAAAGTGTATTGCACTTGAGTACAACTGTGTTATAACTGACAGGTTAAAAAATCTACTTTTTCTACACATAAACAAGAAAGTACAAATGATTTTTCTATATGGTATGAATTTTGTATCAATAATCACATCAGTGTTGACAGTATGTGTGTAGTTGGAAATAACTTTATTCGAAATTCATTCTTCACATGTATTATAAAATTATTTCAAGCTCTGTCCTAACTTTGTACGATTTTCATTTGATTATTATAATATACTGCTACACATACTTTATAGTAAAAAGCAAGTCATTGATACTACAATCGACTGACTGTACTAACTGCTGGTCAGAAAATTCATCCCAGCCATATTTCTCAGGAGGTTGGTGTTGACATCTTGACCTATCATTTGTTCTGTCAAATGGCTTCTTTGCTAGTGCTTCATCTAACCCTCTTAGACAGCCATACAAGTACTAAGAGCATCCTCCTTCTCATTAACTGAGTTGAAGATGATAAAAACCTGTACTCTTGCTATTTTATGACTTGCCAGTCTCAACTGTTGATTCTTGGCTTAGTCAGTGCATGAAAGGTCCATTAGTGACAGATGGCTATATCTTGTCAATGTGTTTAATTTGCAACATTACCACTGTATTCGATAGTTTAATGAACCAAGTTGCTGGAAAGGAAAATAAGGACCTCTCCAACTAGAACAGCTGCTTCTGTGCCATTGGCATGTACTAAAGCCATATCCAGTCTCCTTGCTCAAATGTTCTTTCCTTAACTATTTCATTGTAGCATCTTTCTTATACATCTTTCCTAATTAATGATATATAAATTCATATGCATCAACTAAGGCAGGCCTCATCCCTACATAATAATGTTATCATGGCATTAGATGTTTGTCTCAGTTAATGTTCCTCTGGGCAGGACACACAATGTTTACGCCACTGATAAATATCTTGATGTGAATGTGGACATTATAAATACCCTCGTACAATAGCACAGTTACTTGTGACATTTGATAGCCTCAGTCCTTGCATTGTGCAAAGTTTTAAGCATTTCCTGCCAAAGATATATGGGGCACATTAGCTACAACACGTTATTTATAACAACAATACAGTACACATTCTTCTGCCCTTAGTTACCTGTGCAACTATCACATGTTATGTGCATCTGCACTACACTTCTTAATTTGTGCTATGTTTCACTTCCCTGAAAGGCAAGGAGTATTCATGCTAGATTTTATTACTTTCTAGAGTTCCTGAAGTGTTACTTGTAGCATCCAACCACTATAATAATTGCTATGCCAAAATTGCACTGGTTGACATCTCTGGGTAAACTAGTGGATGATGAACACAGATACTACATAACAAAGAAAAATACTCCTCGTAGCTCTAATATTCTTCAAGAATTATGCTACTACATGTGTGTTAGAAATTTCACTGCTAACTGTGTGTGAACCATGCAACACAATATAGATTGTCTTGCAGCACGATGGGAACATACACTTTTGTTGAATGTCCTGACCCTTGATACCATAGAGTAATAGATTCCACTACTTGTGAGACTTGAAAATACTGGTTCCAAAGTTAGAACTTAGAAAAATCAAGGGAGAATATGATATATAGTATCTGCATACTTCATCAACATGGTTGGCAGTAGGCGTAATATTCTGATTTCTTTGGGAGCTCCACGCTAGGTTTCTTTCTTGGATTTGGAAGCATACCTGGGCCACTCTCTGTTATTATTGTGAATTCATGCAATAAAAACCTTAACAATAACCAGCATGACGAGCTTTTGAATAAAGAAGGTACACCTGTACCTGAAAAGTTATAAGAAATTTATAGGCCATTTCAATGGAATTAGAGTATGTTTAATTGATCTAAGAAATAATTTTTAATTTACAATATTCTGTTAAGATATATTTTTATTTACATAATACCTATGCCTGCCAAACAAATTCAAAATATAGGACAAAAAAATCACTTCCTAAATCATTTAAGTAAAAAATGAACATGGAGGAAGGGGGGATAAATAAGCTCTTAATAAACTTTATAAAGTAGTCCTTTTGGTATATACATCATACTATAGTACTTTGATCATTAATCAGTTTTCAGTATCACTTGATTTTTGAGGGTAAACCATAAAGAGCAGTTTTAGAGAGCAGTGCTACTTGATTTTTGAGGGTAAACCATAAAGAACAGCTTTAAAAGGCAGTGCTACTTGATTTTTCTTTATGGTTTACCCTCAAAAATCAAGTGATACTGCCTTTTAAAACTAATCTTTATGGTTTACCCTCAAACATCAAGTGGTACTGCCTTTTAAAACTGATTTTTTATGGTTTACCCTAAAAAATCAAGTGGTACTGCCTTTTAAAATTGCTATTTATGATTTACCCTCAAAATCATAGTCATATATCTTTGATGAATGGGTCTCACATTCAGCAGTGGACTTTTTGGAGATCCAACCATTGTCTCATACAGCCTTCTATCAACAATGACAGATTCTTCATCTTGGTTATAAGTCTTCTACTTATGGAAAATATCACTTCCTCTCGCATGAAGTTGTTAACTTTAAATCACACAAAGAGGAAAGTAAAATTCAACTGTCAAGAAATTCAGAAAAACTCGCAAAAGCAATTCTTACGGATACAACACCAAAGTTTCTCCTAATTAACTTATTTTTAGTATAGACAAATATACTGATTTCCCATTCAGATTCGGTAGTAAACTCGCAATTTGAGGCTCGACAGAAAAAATATAATGGAGTTACTTCTGAATTCTGAGACTCAAAATAAGTTGAAATAGGAACGAGAATGAACTCGATGTAAATAAAATTAGAAGTGTAATAATGGCTGGAGGTACCTGATGATGACAAAACCTTGTCGAAACATTGTACATTTGCTGTTATATTAAAGTTTTTCTTCATTACCCATTCAAGCCGTCTCCAGCCATTATTAGTCTCAAAGTGGGTTCCTCGTCATCGAAATTAAAATTAGAAGTGATCTTTACTTACAGCAAAAGTCAAAGTGACGACTACACTGGACGATTGACAGCACTAATACTACAAATCTGGTCCTAAACCTCAAATGTGTTCTAGGCTGCAAGAGTACAGTATATCAAACCCTATAGTGCTATCTCTCTCAATGCACATGTGTCACCCATGTCATTTGATGATTCATACCCCACTTTCCTATGAGAAAAATCCCTATTCTCCTTTACTTAATGTTTTATTAAATATCAATCTTTTTCTACGAGAAAGCGCATGTACTTACAAAGGAAAATGATCCAGAGAAATAGATAATTAGAACGAAACTACTTTAGCCCACTCCTTACCAACAATTTACACGACTAGACACGTGTTTTTGCGAAAATTAAAAACAATTCTATGTGAAGGTGGAACACTCATCCTGCTAAGCTAATTGAGACAGGGAATAATATGGCTTATATAATACTAATATATAAAGAAGTTGATTGAAAAAATTAAATATGTATTGGTCAGAAATGGGAAGAATTTAAACTTTCTATACTAACATACTAATCAAACGTGACACAGATGTCTTAAAGAAGATGGCAACCATATAGTTCACTACATTTACTCAAACGTCTTGCTCTACTTTTGTCAATGATTAAAATGAAAACAAATGTTTCTTAATCATACCCCTATCAACTTTGTTACATGAAGCGAGACCGTTCATTGATTTTGTATATGGATTTCTTTTGGATAGAGGTTGGAAAAATTTTTATCTGCTAAAATCAAATTGGTTTTTATAATTATGCTTTTCCAGTTATTTCTGAGTGAGGAGATAGTCAATCATAAGTTAGTTATTGATAGTGTTACGACAGCGGAGGTCACGTGACCCTAGTAACACGTC